AAAAAAAAAAAAAAAAACCAAGCATATAGAGGTAGTTGAATAGCAATATGGGGGAAAAAAAGCATTATCTTATATTTCCCTTCACTTCGTTACAGTGCAAGTGTAAAATGGCTGCTTAACAAACAAATGGGAAACAAACACATACACAGTTGCCACTGTTTACGTGGCTTGCTTGATATTTTAATCCTGGCATTACTTACAAATGCATAAGATGATATAACTAGTTTATCTAAAATAAGCCTATGATGCCACATTGACATATTTGCTTTCTTTTTATTTCATTATTAGTGTTGCTTTAACAATAGATAAATGTTAATCAACTTTTAAAATTATGCATTAGCTACAGTGTTGCTTTGTAAACTTCTGTTAAATCACGTTGGCTGCAAAAAAAATAATAAAAATAATTAAAAAAAACATTTTAAACAACAGCTACAGAGTCATGAAGCAAAAGCTTTAAAGTGACACCAGGAACAGAGATTACAGGCACTTCTCTCTGGAGGTTAACTCAGCATGTTTGGAAATACACATTTGTAAGTGAAAATTTCTTCATTTCACCTCTGGATGTGCGTAACTCAGATTATTAAATAGTTGTACAGTGTAGCAAGGTGAGAGCTGTCATTCTAAGATGAATTGAATGTGTACATTTTATGTGGCTCCTTTTCCATCCTTCTCTTTGTACTCAGAAGGGGCACAAATTGAAGCCCATGCTGCCACTTTTTAGAACGGTCTTCTATCATAAATCAAAACCTCATTCCTCAGCCCCAAGAATGGGCTGAAAATCTCCCCTTATCCATTGTTTAGGCTGCCCTCCATTTGCATCTTTGTCACATACCACTGCTATGATTCTGCCTCGAGGAGCAGAAATGGATGCGAAGTCAACATGTTGGGAACTCAAGGAATGAGTCCCTGAATAAAACTCCCATCTTGGAAATGGAGTTGGTGTGGGGAACACAGTCCTCCCCAATGCATTGCAGTCTGTCAACAGTATGCAATCTATTGACAGTAAGAGACCTCTGGGTGCTGTGAACCAGCCTCAGGAGCTCCGCCGCTCCAATGGCCAGTCACAGGGGATTATCTGAGCCCGGGCCAGCTCCACGGGTAGAGCTGGAAGTGCCACATGTGCAATGACTTGGCTTGCCCCTCGCTGCCGAGGCAGCACTGGGCTAGAAGCAGTTGGCCTTCAGAAAAGGCAAACTTTAAAAATAGTCATTCTCTGCCCCACTAAGTCAGGGGCAGGCACTCTTTTTTCCAAGTTGTCCACAGAAAATTGGTTTGTTTTTCATTTTCTACATTTTGCTGGTTATTTGCTAGCAGCAGTAGTACAGTACAAAGCAGAAAGGCATGATGTCTGCTTGCTACGTAGCATATATATATATGTGTGTGTACACACACACACACACACACACACACACACACACACGTATAGACATACAAAAATTAACCAAAAATAACCTAGTAGGCAAAGACTGGGTCAGTCATGATAGACAGAATAACCAAGTAAGTGGCACTATCTATGTTGGGGAAGTCTTATTTTTCTGGCCTAAACTTAGCTTTATGTCTTTCTTCTATATACCCTTCATTCCCAAGCTACACAGCAAAACCAATTTCCCAGTGTAAAAATGGTCAAGACCAATTGATTACCTTGTTAAGTTACATCCCAAAGAAAACCAAAGCTTAGCCTTGCATCCTGCCTTGCAACTAGACAAAGTATTTAACAGTGGAGACTCAGTTTTCTCATCCATAATATGGGGATAATAACTGCTCTCATGATGTTGACAGGAGAATGATTTAATGAGTTCAGATATGTGAGAGAGATCACCTGGCTCAGTACCTGGTATATGGGGATCTCAGTACATTTTTGTTGAATGTGTTACTTTGGGCAACATAAAGAAATACCATCAACTAAGCACAGATGTCACAAATTGTAAACTCTAATCATCTGGCATGGGTAAGGTTCTCAATACATTTTGGGGAACAGGAGTGATAAGCTGGTGATTCTAATGGAGCTAGAACTTAAGGCTTCCATTCTATCAGAAATCCTAGGCTGGGCGTGGTGGCTCATGCCCACGCCTATAATCCCAGTGCTTCAGAAAGCCCAGGTGGGTGGATCATCTGAGGTCAGGAGTTCGAGACCAGCCTGGGCAACATGGTGAAACCCCATCTCTATTAAAATTACAAAAATTAGCCAGGTATGGTGGTGCATGCCTGTAATCCTAGCTACTCGGGAGGCTGAGGCAGGAGAATCACTTGAACCTGGGAGGCGAAGGTTGCTGGGAGGCGAAGGTTGCGGTGAGCTGAGATCACGCCACTGCACTCCAGCCTGGGTGACAGCATGAGAGAAAGAAAAGAAAAAAGAAAAGAAAAGAAAAGAACAAAAGGAAGGAAGGAAGGAAGGGAGGGAGGGAGGGAGGGAGGAAGGAAGGGAGACAGGGAGGGAGGGAGGGAGGGAAGGAAGGAAGGAAGGAAGGAAGGAAGGAAAGAAATCCTAGACCTACAAGCTTTTTAGCCCTTACTGAAGTGGGAAAAAATTTTCTGGTATAGGATTGATCCCTATCTCTGACCTTTATTTGTTCTCCAGTTATTTCATGTTCACAAACAGATTTAACTCCCAAAATAATTATCTGTAAATCACCAAATTATGGGTCAAAAAATCAGTGGCATGGATCCCCCAACTAACTTTAAAGGGGTTTCAAGTGGATACTGTGTGTAAAGGCAGTGTTTTATACAAATGTAGGCTTTTGATGATATTCTATAACTACGACTAATCTAATAGTAGCTATTATTTCTTGAATGCATTCTAGGTGTGAGACACTGTGCTAATTGATTTATACATTATCTCATTTAACTTTTGCCACAACCCTATATGCAGAACTATCACTATCATTTCATAGATTAGAAAACTGGGGCTTGACAAAGGTTAAATCAATTGCCAGAAGTAACATATCTAACAAGTAAAGAAGCATTCAGCCCTTTTCTCTGTTGCATTTACACTAGATACCAAGAAACTACTCTATTAGGATTGTGTTATGACCACCTGGTCTGGGAACCAGGTAGAAGGGGGAGTCTTTTCTGTTCCTTGAGCCTTGTAGAGTTTGCTTGGGCAGAAATCATGCCTATACTTCCATCTATTTCCATTGTTCACCTGCCCAGACTAGCTCCAAACATCAAATCTGAAAAACACAATTTTCTGGCAATATAATGTCCGTTAAGTGAGTGCAGAAAAGATCATCTGGTTTCTGCTTACATGAATCTTTTTTATGTTGCCTGGATCATGTCATTCTCCCTTTCCTGTTTCTAGCTACAGTTGGTGATGAGAGAAGTAATCATTACCCTCTCACCTTAACAGAGCAATGAGTTGTGAGTGAATGATGCAAAAATCATTCACTGTCCAAAATCACATGGTATAATTTGCATGAAGATACAAAGAGAACAATTCATTTCCTCCCTGCTCTAATTGTTTCACTCTGCCAATATAATACTCCTGTACTCGTGGTACCTTGCAGGCTGTCCTGCCACTGAAGGACTCAAACTAGCACTAAGCAAGCTAAATAAGGGCTTACTCTTACTCCCCACCCTGTATTCTCCTGCTACACTGAAATATTTCACCCATGCAACTAGGAGCAAGGCAGTACTTAGATAAAATAATTGTTGTCCAGGCTGGAGTGCAATGGTGCAATCTCGGCTCACTGCAACCTCCATCTCCCGGGTTCAAGCGATTCTCCTGCCTCAGCCTCCCGAGTCGCTGGGATTACAGGCGCACGCCACCACACTTGGCTAATTTTGTATTTTTAGTAGAGACGGGGTTTCACCATGTTGGTCAGGCTGGTCTCGAACTCCTGACCTCAAGTGATCCACCCACCTCAGCCTCCCAAAGTGCTGGGATTAGAGACGTGAGCCACCATGCCCAGCCATCTGGTTTCTTTAAAAATATTATTAAAGGGTTCTATTCTATCTGGCTTATTTACATTTTTAATAAGAAAAAATCCTTCATCAAGTGTTTCTGCCCAGGTCTTGATCCTCAGAACCCTGAGGAGAGGTGTGGTATGAAGGCGAGTTGGGCATGGCTGTGATGTGCCAAACTGAACACCATTTCCTTTGAAGAGTTAATTATAATCCTGCCTAAAATCCCATTCCTAACTGCGCTGGGGAGAAATTAGATACAGTTAGACTGCTGGAACAAATGGCTATAATAAAAATAATTTTTTCAGCTTTGTTCTGTATTACACACAGAAAATGAAATATTTTACCTTACCTTGGCATATACCATAATCTAGGCCAAATCCCTTAAGTATTTTATACTGTTTAGTTCAAACAAAAAAAGGTGGACTCTGAAGATAGATGATCTTAGCATCATTCTCAACTTCTTGTAAGCATCCACTTGGATAGATATGGAAATGGTCTAAGAACTAGTGTCAATGTAGTAAAAAAAAAGATTAAAGCAAAAACTGCACACTTCTAGTATTGTTACTTCCCCCTAGGTACACGGTAAACCACATCAATAAATAAAGCAATGGACTTTTAAATAGTTACAAACACACATGTAGAAAAAAAGAATACAGTAGTGCAAAAATAAATTATTAAAACAGAAAGAAGTATGAACATTATTTTACACAATGCTCTACAAACCTGAACCACTTGGAATGAGACCTCAAGTAAGTGAAATTATACAGCAACATTATTAGTATCTTTGTTTTCACATTTCAACCACGCAGTCATTGATCTATGGAAGAAGGAATACTAAAGCAAAACCCCTTTAAACTTTTGGAAATTTTAATGTTAAAATCAGATGCTGTTTATGCAGTTATGCAGCATGTCAAGAAGCATCTTAAGACAGAAAGTTTCAAATAGGTCACATTCTTTTGGTCTTTCTACTCAGTTTTTCTCTGTGATCAACAGCAGGCTGATGCCTCTGTTTGACACCCTCTTCTGATTTTATTGCAATTAGATATATTTACAAGAAGACTCCCCTCAGTGGCAGTGGGGAAGGTGGGAGGTCCTCTTCGGTAATCCACTCACTAGTTTTGGTTTCGGGACATGAAGGCCAGGACTCGTCGAATACCATTCAGTCTGTCCTTTAAGGATGTCATTGCTAGGAAAGGGAGCTGAGCTCGGCTTTCCAAAGGAAGAACTGCTAATGTCCACCAGCACCAGGCTGGGCCATTCGGGTTCATCTGCAACAGAGAAACACAATGGCATCATCCTATCCCCATCCAAGAACATCAGTCTGCAGGTTTCTAAATGCTCAAGGTAAAGACCCCAGGTAGAACGACTTCCGTGTGGCAGATTGCTAATTGCCCCTTATATCTATTTTCCCCCTTATTTTAGCAGGGCATAGAGCCACCCAGAAAAAAAGACTAAATTTCTCAGTTTCCCTTACAGCTAGGTGAGGCCATGAGACAAAGTTTTGGCTAATAAGATGTAAAGGGAAGTGACATGTGTAACCTCCTGGTCATGCTCTGAGAAAGCAGCATATGCCCTCTGCTGCCTTCTTTCTCTACCTTTCCTGTAGCTAGAACATGGACATGGTGAGGATCAGCCTTCCTCAATCAAGAAGATGACGGTGACATTCTAAGGATGTTAGAGCTTTGTGATGAAGGAGCCTGGGTCCCTGAATGCTCTCATGGAATAGAGCTGACCTAGCTGCCCAGGACTTAGCCCCTCCATCTTGTTTAAGCTCCAGTCATTTTTGGTTCTTGTTAAGGCAAACCAACCAATACCCTAACAGATACCCTATGCCTCCTAGCCAATTTTTACTAGCTGGTATCCACTATGTAGTCTCTTCCACTTCTAAGATTCTGCTGAGGTCCTTTGGACTGATGCATTTAACATGCAGGCCTTCAATTCCCATGACCCCTTGGCCTTTGTATGCCTTTTAAGTCCCCTCATTTCCTTGCTGTGGCTGAAGCAATAGTCCAGATATATCATGTCACTATACAGGGCCACTGCTATCTTCTCCCCTAAAACCAAAGGCTATGATTTACATTTCCAAAGAATTACAACCCACTTTGCAAAAATTCCAATTAGAAAACATTCACATCAGAAATACATTCTGTCCCTAGATTTTATTTAATAAAGAGCTTTCCCATTCCACATAAATCCTTCCCCAAAATTCTGTTCGTAAGCAGCTTCCCTGGCACATGTTTTAGACATTGGGAACTTACTTTCTACTAAGCCTAAAACAAGCTTTCTGCCCATAACTTTCAGAAGGTTGGTTATGGGACTGTAGAGAACCATTCTGATCAAAGTGCCTATACCTAAAATTACTTGGCTCCAAACTGGTTCCTCTGAACTTCACCAAATCTCACTGCCTTCTTTGTTTCTTTGTGCCTCTAGCTCCATTTGCATTCTGTTTTTCCCTCTCTGAAGTTGGCAACATGCTCTCCCTCCTATGATCAGTTCTGAATATTAGACTGATGCTCTGACCTTTCTTTCCCAGGATCATCAACAGAGATATTTCAGCTGGTGTTAACATTTGTGGCAGTTTCTAAGAAACCTCCTGACAGAAGATTCTTATCTGTGGGACCACTGGGGATGCATCATTGGCTGGCACAAACTGGGATGGGTTTGGGTTTTTCTTTCTTGTTGGTGCTGCTGCTGCCAAAGCAACATAATAACAGAACTAAGAAGAAAGGAAGTGAAACCCAAGATTTCAACTTTCTATGTCATTAGCCTTTATGAATCACACTGTAGCATCTGTGTTTTCCCCTGTTATCATTGCTGATCTCTATCTTTTGCCTGACTAGGGGAGAATGCTTCCCGGAAAATGAAGGGGAACATTAAGCTTGATCGTGAGCTTGCTCAGAGGTATATGCTGCAGTCCTGACTCACCATGGCCCAGAGCCAGGAGCTGGGTCACAGGAAGCACTAACTGGCCTTTCTCCCTTGAAAACTCATGATGCCTTTGCAGGGAGGAAAGGAGCCACCTTTGTGGTCTGAAGAAAGCGAGACATTGCAGTTCATTAGGGAGCAGACTGGTGTCTTAGAGTCTCAGAATGCAAAAGGAAGAGGGGGCTTTAGTACCTGCTTCATGTCAGGGACAAAGTTGAAAAAAGAAATGAGATCTTCCCAAGGTCATACCCTAGGTCATTGACAAGGTAAGCAGGTCAGAATATGTATATTTTGATTTTTCTTTTGTGACAGAGTTGGGGATGAGCATAAGTAAAGAATCATGGAAGTTCTGGAAGTGTTGATACAGGAGAGCCAGCTCAGAGCATAGGAAGAGATGGTGGTGAGGAAACATGTGGTTAGGATACCTCCAGCCTTGTCCTAGAAAGAAAGTATTACCTGATTTATGCCAGGCAAGCAAAGCTTGGTGAAACTTAACCATCTCCACTCACCTGGAGAGCTTCTGATCTGCAGCTTGATCTTGCAAATGGGCCTATCCCCCAGGAAGAATATTGATCAGTAGAAACTAACAAACTACTTCTAGTATAACTCAACCAACAAGTAAATTTAATGATAGGGTCAGTTTTCTCAGGAGCTGTTCAGCCCTGGTGAAGACAAGAGCAAGGGTGTAGGCTTGCAGGGCTAAGCATAAATAGAGCAGGGCATAAAAAGTTTCTGTGGTCTTGCAGTTGTAATCTTATAAGGGTAGCTGGCCCTATCTTTGTTCCCAAAGCAATGAGGGAGAGGGTTATGAAGTTCCCTGAAAGCAGCAGCCTTTGGTCTCGGCCCCCAGGACACCCTTCTCTTAATTCCTGGCCTTTGCACGTATGTTGTCACCCTAACATTACCATGGTGTGAATCTGGACTCCCATGGAAGGTTCTTCTGTTGGTGGGATCTGTGTTCCCATTCCGTTATCTTACTTAGCTCTCAAAACCTGCGTTGGATCCAAGCTCCTACTGCTTTACTTTAGTTACCCCAATTCTAACTTGGGATCTTTTTGGTCTTACTCATGACACACTGTGCAGCCAAACACCACCAAATTTAATCCATCTTCCTCCCTGCATTCGATGTGCTGAATGGTAACCACATACCCATTTAATCACAAATACTACACACTCTCTTCTGGTGTGGCAACCCATTTAAAAATGACATTTTTCTATACCTGGGGATCAGCATCTTTCTCCGGCATGGGACCAAAGTGATTGAGTATCCGATTCTTTAGGGATGATTTGAGCGAATGAAACCACGATGACGCTTGCTCATAGACACAGTTATGTAATCCCATGAGCTCAGCACAAGCCTCTCCCTGAACCTGAAAGTATCAAAGTGGAAGTGAAACATTCTGTACACTCTCCATCACTCCCTGGAGTCACTTTTGACACCTGACTCGCTTTGAGCATCCATCCTGCCTCCTGATGGGAAGGCTCACCCATCCAGCTTTCTCCTGTGCTTGATGTGAAATGCCCCTTAGTCAAGTGCTGCACAGTGTATAGATACTGCTGAGCATGGAGGAAGGAGAAAGGTTCAGCTGGGGATTAGCTGAAACAGCAAAACATGCAGAAAACCAGACATTCAAACTGGCCTGAGTGGAGGTATGTGGTTAAACCAGGTTATGCTGGTCCATGCCTTTGCCCTTTTCATTTTTACATCTGTTTTCCCATTTCTTGCTGGAAGAGACACAGGAGTGTGTCAGTTTCAGCATGTAACTATCTTGGTCAAACACGTTTACTCAGTCATCAGATATTTGTTAATCTACTATATAACAAATGTAAATATAAATGAACACAGGATTATTTACCTCTTCTTCCACTCATTTGCTCAGAAAACCAAGGATTAACTAGATGTGTCATCTTTTCTGCCTTATGGGATAATGGATTATTGGGAAGGGCTCCTAGCCAGGTTATATATTTTTAAACACAAACCCATGTGTGGATCTGTAATTATCTCAAAAGAAAAAAGTTTAAAATATACATAAATCGATAGACAAAATATATATGTATAGATCCCACTGTGGATCTATTCCTTGGTATCTTTGGCAGAGACTTAACTCTCAGGCTGAATGGGCCCCGGGGTTGGTCTAGGATAGCATTTCTTATGCATGAATGAGACTCGGCAGCTAAGCAGAGTCAGGACAATAGATGCTGTCACTGCCATTGTGCAACTGGACAGCAATCCAGCAGCATTCAATGTTGCTGCAGCAATTTAGTGTGAAATCCCAAGGCCCACAAGGGTTCTGAGAAATCCTTTCCCGACTATCTTTGTGTATCAAGTTACGAGGCTAGCCTGGCTTTGGGATTCTTGGCAGTGGCCACCCTCACCTTTTGGTCTTCAATGTATTCAATGTCGGCTGTGTTGTAGCCATCCCGCTGGCTCTGATGCAGCACCCTGAAGCGCCTCTTGCCTATGCTGTCAACCACTGAGCGGCCATCGGCAAAGAATTGAACATTTCTGATCTCTAGGATGCAGCCATATTCTGCAAACCTGTTTATTGAGAATGGAGTCGAGAGAATAGATCCTTGATGAGTTCTGTTTCCCTGGCCTGGCCCCCAGCCATTTCTGTAACCCCATGCTGTGGGCTCAAGGGACTTCTGCCTATTTTCCTGTCCCTGGATTTACAGCTTCAATTACAAAACAGGCAGTGCCTGTGTGAAAAAAAAAAATCGTAATGTATTTTATAACTGCTACCATTTATTGAGCACATACTACGTGCCAGTGCTATAATTTAATGTTTGTCTCCTCTACAACCCACTTTGAAATTTAATGGCATTGTAGCAATATTAAGAGGTAGGACATTTAAGAGGTGATTAGGCCTCTACCCTCATGAATGAATTAATGCTGATATGGTGGAAGTACAGTAGGGTTGTTATCAATATAAAAGGGCAAGTTTGATCCCCCCCCCATTGCCCTTCTGCTATGCCCTTCCACTATGTTATGATAAAGGAAGAAGGCCCTTGCCAGATGCTAGCACCTTGATCTTGGACTTCCCAGCCTCCAGAACCATGAGAAATAAATTTCACTTGTTCATAAATTATTTGTCTGTGGCATTCTGTTATAGTAGCACAAAACAGACTAAGGAAGCCAGGAACTGTGCTCAGCGTTTTATGTACATTATTAACTCACCAATCTTCCCAGCAAACCCAATGAGGTAGGTATTATTATACTCACTTTACAGATAAGGAAACTGTGATACAGAAAGGTTAAATAACTTGCTCAAACTCAAACTTGTTCCAAGGCTGCAACTATAATATGAATGCAGGCAGTTTGACTCCACGGCCCACACTCTTACAAAACAAGTTTTATAATATATATCACTTGTTTAACCAAATATTAATTTTTTTTCCCTAACCCTAACCCAACTAACCACCAAAGGGACCCTGATCCTTACAAATGCTCATATTCTTCAGTTGGCTAGACCTCATGAGCTAGGCCTCCCCATCTCCTGGGAGTACCCCAAAGTAAAACAGAAATCCCTCATTACCCCACCTCCCTTTGCTCACATGGCTCCCCACTCACCCTCTGACAGGATCTCCAAGGCACATGCCAAACTGTCTCGTGCCCGTCTCAATGCATCTACGAATCATCAGGCGGTAACAAGGCTCAAAGATGTGCAGGGGACAAGGAACGGTGGGATAGGCCATCGTACACACGAAAATAGGTACATTCTTATTAAGGCTGTCAGAAAGAGCAAATGACAGGAATCTCAAAGCAATCGGACAGAACACAAAAATGTTGGTCAAATGTTAGCATATGATACCCCTGGGGGAAGGCAAAGAGACACCAAGTTTGTTTTTTTGACACTGTCACTTGCCAAAGAGACACCAAGTTTTGACGGCTAATAGCAAAATATTGAAATGCAATTGACAGTGTGGGCTGAGTCCCATTAGCTGATGCAGAGGTTAGCCTAAGGTCTAAGAAATTAAAATTGGCATTCTACATATTTTAATTTGGCTGAAGAAGTTCTCTAGTATCTTAATATTGTGGGTGATAGCTATACCTCATATGTTTTCTTTCTTTCATGCTCTCTACTCAAAACAATCTCTTTAGGAGTTTTGCAGGCTGCATAGGGAAGGTTGCTGATGATAGAAGTAGACTCAGCAATCCAGAGGGATGGTGGGAAATTCTCTGTAAGGTCCCTAGGGCATCTCAAATTTGCCAGGCCCCCCAAAGAATCTGCAAAGGAGGCCCAGCTGATAGGGGGAAGGACCAAGAGATAGACAAGAGTAATCCAGCCCAGTGATGCTCAAATGCTTCTTGCATCAGAATTACCAGGGGGTCTTAAATCAAGAGAACTTAGACACCACGTTCGTTACCAGAGATACTGATGTGTTAGCTCTGTAATTGGGACCCAGGAGTCTGCCATTCTTTTCTTTTTGTTTTGTTTTTTGCTTGTTTGTTTGTTTTTGAGATGGAGTTTCACATGTCACTCTATCGCCCAGGCTGGAGTGCAGTGGCACTATCTTGGCTCACTGCAACCTCCACCTCCCAAATTCAAGCGATTCTCTTGCCTCAGCCTCCTGAGTAGCTTGGATTACAAGTGTATGCCACCACACCTGGCTAATTTTCGTATTTTTAGTAGAGATGGGGTTTCACCATATTGGCCAGGCTGGTCCTCAACTCCTGACCTCAAGCAATCCACCTGCCTCGGCCTCTCAAAGTGCCAGGATTACAGGCATGAGCCACTGCACCCAGCCCTGCCTTTCAATAAGTACCCACAGAGATTTACATATACAACCCGTTGGGGAACCAAAACAGAGCCAGCTCCTCTGGGATAGTTGTTTTCTTATATGTCTAGTAAATCTAACACAGGAACATCTGAACCTAAACCTATCAAGAGATATGAGACCACCTGCCCAAATCTCAAGAGGATTAAGTTTAGGATTCATTTACATAGAAAGCCCTAATACATCTCAGGATTTGGTGTTTTTTTTAGATGGAGTTTCACTCTTTTTGCCGAGGCTGGAGTGCAACGGTGCAATCTCGGCTCACTGCAACCTCCGTCTCCCGGGTTCAAGCAATTCTTTTGCCTTAGCCTCCCGAGTAGCTAAGATTACAGGTATGTGCCACTACATCCGGCTAATTTTGTATTTTTAGAAGAGACGGGGTTTCTCCATGTTGGTCAGGCTGGTCTCAAACTCCAAACCTCGTGATCCGCCCACCTCTGCCTCCAAAAGTGCTGAGATTACAGGCATGAGCCACGATGCCCAGCCCTCAGTATTTGTTAAGACCTTAAATGAGATTTGAGATGAGGCTTTGAGAGGCTCAATGCTAATTTACAGATCAGAAATAAAGATAAAGATGCCCTGAGTAGTTCCAATGTAAATTAATGAGAAAAACAGATTTCTAGTTTCTGAGAAAAACATTATTCAAAGTGAGGAGTGCATTCAAACAAGCCACTGGCAGAGTTTATGAATGTTCTCTACACAATGGGCATGAAATCAGAACCATTTTTTGCTGTCACGAACCTGTCTGGAATGCTGTTAGGATTCTACTGGGGATGGGGAGAGGGGAGGGCAAAAGCAAGAGAGATAGAAATTAGTGACTGCCTCCTGCCTTTTTCTGCTAAGGGAGCTGTTCTTGCAGCCAGGCAGGGCACTGAGAACCTCACTGACGCCTCTGCCCCTCCCGTTCACCTTTCACATTACCTGTACATGGCAGAGAAAGCACTTAACAAGTATCAGTACTTTTACCATTAATTAAGCGCTTATTATGCACAAGTTCATTTGATCTTCATAAGTCCATTAGGTGGCTAGGCACGGTGGCTCACGCCTGTAATCTCAGCACTTTGGGAGGCCCAGGTGGGTATCACTTGAGGTCCGGAGTTCAAGACCAGCCTGGCCAACATGGTGAAACCCTGTCTCTATTAAAAACTAAAAAAACTAGCTAGGCATGGTGATACATGCCTGTAATCTCAGCTACTTGGATGGCCGAAGCAGGAGAATGGCTTGAACCTGGGAGGCAGAGGTTGCAGTGAGCCAGGATCACACCACTGCACTCCAGCCTAGGTGACAGAGTGAGATGCCATCTCAAAAAAAAAAAAAAAAAAAAAAAGAAGTCCATGAGGTAAGAACTAAAATTATTGTCAAGCTACAGATAAGGAAATTAAGGCCCAAAAAGGTTAAGTGACCTGCCTAAAGTAGACTGGTCATGAAGTAGACTCACTTTTAGGTAGAACTGGGTCTTAAGCCTGGTTCTGGTTGACACCAAAGTTCTCAACCTCATAGCGACTCCTTATATATCTGAAAACAATCTTTTAGACATTTTGTTAAGTTCCCCTGATTAAGCTACTCCAATTTACTCTTGCCAACAATATCCTGTTACTGGGGCCAGGGCGTATCCTCTGGTTTCGCTTATGCTTCTTCAGGAGTATGCTGACATGTTTAAGAACTGGCTCTCTGGGTGCAGGGGAAGCCTTGGTTTGTAGCACTTGCCAATTTCTATGGTGTACTCTTACCATGGCCAATTATCAAGCAACTAGCATGATATCACTAAGTGGGAAGCTTGGAAGAAATGTGCACATTCAGCTCTCATGAGCATCTATGAATGAAACAAAACAGAAATATGCCTATACATACTTAGAAAGTTCTTCCATTTCCTCTTCATAAAGCTTCCTTCGTTCCTTCAGTTCTTCTGGAAGGAATTTAGCTATTAGCTCCTCCATTATTACATTTTTGCTGTATTTTCTTGATGCCAAGCACTATATGGGGGAAGGCAATTAGATAATATGCAGTCATCAATAAAATACTTGTGATGCAATAAATATACTAGTTAAATGACTCACATATTGGAGTAATCTGAACCCACGAATTAGCAGCTGACACCATCATAATAATATGTATTTTCTGGATGTTGGAGTTTCATTTTTAAAAAAACATACAATTCATTATCTTTACAATTAGAAAAAAGTATTTTAACAAGGGGGTAAAACCTGCATTGAAGTTTTTATCACTGAAATCAATTTTCAGTTTTAACACTGAAATCAAGATCATGTTCTTGTCCAAAAAGTGGGGCAGAGGGGGATTCTTCACTTTCCATTTTTTTATTATCGTGTTTACAAGCTCACAGAAGTGGTCTCCATCTGGGATATGCTCAAAGTTAGTGGCCAAAAATTTCAGGGAACTAAACAGCAACTTTCAATCACTGATCCTTTCCTGCCCTGCCCCACTCTCAGCCTAACCCAATGCTTGGCTTCTGAATACTGTCAAGTCTATATTATTTTTTCTCTTTTAATTTTAGTTTATAAAAACACAAACAGCTAAATATTGGTGATTTCATTTGTCTATCTGCCTTTCTAATATACCATCTAGGTATCACTGAGATTAAAAGTCATGACTTCAAGAACTGGACTCAGGCTCAATTGTCACCGTTACTGTCCTCCCAAACACCCCTGCCAAATGCATGCCCAGGGATGCTTAAGTAGTGGGTATTTAACGATGTGAATCAAACAAGTTAAAACATCTGCAGAGAACTGCTCGCTATGGAAATTACCCCTACAGACCCAGCAGGGGGAGCGCCTGAGTATAAAACTGTTGGCTTTGGACAATGTTCCTTTCTTAGTATGGGCTGTGTCTATTCTGCAGTGAACATGATTGGAATACTTAATTCTATGTAAAATGGTGCAAGTGTGACCCTATGTGAATACACAGAGATAGATGAGAATATCTTCTAGCCCCCGAGTCTGAGACCCTGTAGCATCTGTCTCCAGGATGCCTTATCTGCCAGTGCCATTCCCTGGCTATGGGAGAATCAACTGCATTTCCCAGTCCCAGTTTTGGGGGATAAGCAGTGACTGAGGAGGTAGCCAGTCCAAAAAGCAGGTGACTCCTCTGCTGATTTTAAAACAAAAGGCCAGAAAAGGCACATACTAAAATGTTAACTAACAGTGGTTTTCTCTAGGTACTGAGCATATGGGCAGATTTTTCTTCTTTCCGCTTAACCTGAATTTTCCAGTCCTACAACAACATAAATGTATTATTTAAGTACAAGGACCATGGACCTCTCACCTGCAATCAGGACAGCAAATACTACTCCTTTATCTAGGGAAAGGTATGACATTGACCCTACTTCCCAATCCCAATGCATACCCTCAGGGCTATCAGTGATGATCATTTCACTCCATTCCCTTAATTTAAATACTGGGGTGATAGTAAAGCTCAACATGTGACTTTTCTGGACGTGTAGTCACCTAGAGATGGCCTTGCATCTCCAATGTCCCCTCAGGGATGATAGGGGTAAAGGAACATTAACACCAATTGTAAAATGTGGCACACAAATCCCTGAGGGAGGGAAAACAAGATGGATTCTCAGGTCTTTTTCTATAGGAAATCCTTCCAGTTCACTTGAAAAACAAAGATGGGAGTCTGTGTGATTAGTTTTAGAGAATCTGGAAGCCCTAGAGGGCTGCTATCTGCTAAACAGGCTTACTGCAACAGCTCTAGGGCTTCCAGATACAGTGACTCCGGAGGGGCTGGATAACAATGAAGTTCTGTGAGGTTCTTCTGGGGCCTTGGGAGCTGTTATCTTCAAGCCACAGAATAAAAATTGATGATAAGGGAACATCAGGGCTGATCTAGTCCAATCCTGGAGGGGACAAAAGATTTACTCAAGATTATAGTGTATCAGGTGCCACAGTGAGATTAGAAACAGGATCTACGTATATCACCTATTTAATACTTTTGTTTCCAACCCAAATTAATTTCCATACTTACACTGCATAAAAAGCTACAAGTTGCCTCATTTTCCTAAAGGACTTTATGGAGAAGGGGACAGTGGCTATAAGACAGGAGACATAGGCCTGGCACGGTGGCTCAGGCCTGCAATCCCAGCACTTTGGGAGGCTGAGGCAGGTAGATCACCTGAGGTCAGGAGTTTGAAACCAGCCTGACCAATATGGTGAAAACCCATCTCTACTAAAAATGCAAAAACTAGCCGGGCATGGAGACGTATGCCTGTAATCCCAGCTACTCAGGAGACTGAGACAGGAGAATTGCTTGAACCCAGGAGGCGGAGGTTGCGGTGAGCTGAGATCGCACCACTGCACTTCAGCCTTCAGCCTGGGTGAAAGGGCGAGACTCTCTGTCTCAAAAAACAAAACAAAACTATGGAGAAATAGATGGTTCGAGGGAGTAACGTGCCCTACACAGTGCAGTGGCTTGGGGTCCAATTGAACACTGTCTTAGTGCCCAGTTTCAAACAAGCTAAACCAAACAAGAAAGAAATACTGATTTAAACCAAACAAGAAATATTGATTTACCTGTGAAAGACCATCTTTGCACAGTGGACACTTTGCGTTGTGATCTAGGCATCTTTCCAGGCATTTTAAGCAAAAAGTATGCCCACAAGGTGTTGTGACTGGCTCATAAAATAATCTGAAATTTAGGAATCAAAATGGAAGAAAACTGCAATAAGACCAAAAATAAAAGAGTGACTCAAAGCTAAGGTTTTAAAACATTATTTAGAATATTTTAGGGTGGGGGAGGATTTCTTTTTCAAAAATCACTGTTGTTGTACTTCAGATAAACACTTGCCTTTCATTTTGGAACTGGATTATAATAATACATTTATTAATGTTTAGGGCATAGGTAGATCATTTTGTAACATCGATTCTAGTCTATCTCTTCTGGGAAATTCAGATTTTTTGCCCTGTCTGGTCTAAGAAAAATAGAGATTAATGCACAGAGTGTCTGAATGAATTCCATTCTGAAAATATTTAGCCAATCTGTTCATTTGAGTATATGTAAACACACAGATACACACACACTCACTCTCACTCTCTCTCTCTGTCTCTCTTACACATTTACCCATTTAAGCACTTTATATCCTATTACCATGGAAAAAAACTTTGTTTGCTAAGCTTGCTTCCTCTTTTCATAAAAGCAATGTTAATGCCTGAAGGATCTCAAAATTGTTTAATTTTTATAGAGGCAGGAGAATAGTATTGTTGGTGTGCTTACTGAAATAGACTAGATATGGATCTATATTGATGCATATACACCCATATATACATACATACAAATGTGTACATACATATGTATACATACATACACTTCAATTCCGTACTATTTTAATTGCTTCGAGAGAGCAGGATGTTTTCAAAGCAATTTGGGAATCCTTTTATAAAGCTGTTCTGTGCCTTCAGAGATTCATGGATTTGCTTTGCTTTAAAAAAAAGGCTCACCTGCAGCGAGATCAGTGAGTGAGGGTAGCTGAAGATGACCATTGACGAGTAGGGCTTGCACTCACCAAGAGGAGGAGCACAGGAAGAAGGGAAAGACCCCTGCCTGACCAGCCTATTTTGACCTCACGAGAGTGTTCAGTGGCAAGTCAGAGGCTGCCAGCTGCAAGGCTCCCTCGTGTGGCCAGGAGGTGCACCAGCAGCCTGGCCAGCACTGCCAGGCTGAGCAGAAGAATCAACACGTCAGTTGAAAAGTACTCGAGAAGAAATTGAACCCACTAACTAGAATGAACCTGAGGTCCACAGGGGTTGAAGTCACTTGCCTAAATGTGCACAGCCAACTGTTGACAGATGAAAGTCTATCCAACTTCCACTTCCAGTCATGTCCCTATTCTATTACAACAATAATTCTCTTTTTAAATTTTTTTTTTGGAGAGAGGGGGTTTCACCGTGTTAGCCAGGATGGTCTCGATCTCCTGACCTCGTGATCCGCCCGCGTCGGTCTCCCAAAATACTGGGATTACAGGCTTGAGCCACCGCGCCCGCCCGACAACAGTAATTCTCAACTATTGCTATGCATTAGACTCACTTGGGGAGATTTACCTTTAAAAAGCCTTATTGGCCGGGCGCGGTGGCTCCCGCCTGTAATCCTAGCACTTTGGGAGGCCGACGCGGGGGGATCACGAGGTCAAGAGATCGAGACCATCCTGGCCAACACGGTGAAACCCCGTCTCTACTAAAAATACAAAAATTAGCGGGGCGAGGTGGGGTGCGCCTGTAGTCCCAGCTACCCAGGAAGGAGGGCTTAAAAAGGGGCAAGAGGAAACATTCAGGAGTGATGGGTATGTTTCCTATCTTGATTGTGGCGATGGTTTCATAAATGTGTACATATGTCAGAACTTATCAAATTGTACACTTTAAGTCTGTTCCATTTATTATATGTCAATTTTGCATCA